CAGACGACCACCCACCTAGAGGGTGGGGTCTGTCCAAGGTTTCTGCCTCTTAAAAGGAAGTTTTTCCTTGCCGCTGTCGCCAAGTGCTTGCTCATGGTGGGAATTGTTGGGTCTCTGTAAATAATGTTATAAGGAGTTCGGTCTAGACTAGATCAAAAACATTTCTTTAAGTATTTACAGGTAAGAAGCTATTTCATGAAGCATTCAGAAGAAGATAGATAAAAAAAAAAAAACGATTTAATACAATACCTGATCAAGAATAGAAAAAAAACTAAAGGACATCTTTCAGCTGTCTATAAAATATTACAAAGGTGCACCATTGTAGATAATAAAGTGAATGGAAAATGGGGAAAAGAACTGGAACATATATATCTGGAGAAGATTGGAAAGACCCCCTAAGTGGAAACTGGAAATCAAAATACTGGAGAGAATTTTCTTGGAAAATCAGTATGGATGACCCCATATAAATATGGAAAATGTTACCCCCAAATAGGGACTAGTTGTTGAAAACGATGTGAGGAACAAGTAGCAAATTACACACACACATTCTTTATATGTCCAATTTTGTTGCTAATTTGAGAAGAGGTGGAGAGAGCTTTTAAGTATGTTCTCGACTTAAAGGAACCTTTGTAGTTCGAAAATATGTTTGGACATTGTTGTAAACAAACAATGGTAGGAAAAATGATGAACGAAACATTGCAATAAAGTATTAAGAAAATAAATAAATAACCCAGAATTTGCCACTGCATATCAGTATATGATAACAACACCAAAGAAAATAAGAAATTATGAATTTAATTAAATAGTCTTTATAGTTTTTTTTATAGTTTATGTAGAATACGGATATCACTGTGTTACTACTGACTATTTCTCCCAGGAAAAAAAGGGTTTGCCTTTTCAAGGGAATTTATAGTAGTATTTCAGAGGGTGCAATTTGACTCACATCCTATATGAAAGCCATCTTTTCTTGCCCATTATTGTCCTTTCTGATTAATTCTTTCTGAACAACTTGCTTCCCATTGATCACACTGAAGACAGAGACATACACTTCCAGAAGTACATTTGTGGCTGATGGTTCCAATACAGAAAGAACCGTAAATACAGCTATGTGTAACTCTCACCAGTCACTGAGTCAGGGGTTTAAGTGAATCATAATGCTGCTGGACAGTGAATACCAATTTGATGAGCCAGAACACGGCACAGGAGCTGTGGGGGAAAAACAGATGGAAGTTGTGAGTGACGACACAATGATGATCTCTGGGTCTGCACATATAAGAGTGATCTGTCTCCCAGCACTCACTCCAGTGGAAGCTAGATCACCATGAAGATTATCTGCTGCGAATGAACATGGGGCACATCTGGATGCAAAAAATAGAGACACAGAGATAAGGTGAGTGTCTAAAAAGCTTTCCACAAAGCCCGTAGAAAGGAATGTGTATTTCTTGGCAGTTTTGGCCTTTCATTTCTAGTGCCTGGATCGGGAGGTTACACATATTTTTACTTACAGCTGCGCTGGACAAATCTAGATTTTATTTAACTGCAATAACTGCAGTTGAATAAAACTGAGAAGGAACACACTGAGTGTATAGTTGACCATTTCTGGTGTTGGAGCCAAGAACAGAAACAATGCATTAGCTTTCGCGATGAATAAAGCTCTCTGATGGTATCTGTTTCTCATAAGTGACGCAACATTTCTCATTTCCACATGAATGTCTAAGGGAGGCAGAAGGATTTATCACAATATTTAATGCTGAGCCTCTTTGGTAACACTTGATGAAGACCTACAAGGTCTACATCACAGAGTTATGAGCGAATAAGAATTTGAATAGAAAAAACATGTCAACTTAGTTGTAGTGACATAAAATATGTAATTTGGTTTTGTCCTCATCAATTCTACGCTACTAAATGCCGATTAGTAGCGTAGATTACCCTATTAATCTCTGTGATATACTTGGAAAAGAGGAGGGACTGATTCAATGCAATATAGTCTTTTTGTTAGGGGAAACCACTTATCACAGGTCATCCAAAACCATTACTTTACCTAGTCATTTAAATTAAAAGTAGCCCAATTTTGGCACAACCACTCTGACAGCAGGGGTTATAAACTTTATCTTTGTTATATATATTATGTTATCTGTCTCATATATGCTGTCTCCTTTTGTTATCTATGTGAAATGTATACACAAAACTTCTCTTCAGAAAAGTGCTTCACATAAAATTAACTTGGTTGCTTATGATGACACTGCTTTGACTTTAAAACCACTGTCATTCACAGTTTCCAATGCATGTGAATACATCAGACTGGTTGGTCCCGACTGTGAACCCAGAGCTGGACCACTGCAGTAACTACACTGAAGCCTGGCTATGGCTGTCCTCCCTGCAGCCAGCCTACCTGGGTTTGATCAGCCTTGTGGGGTTGGTGGGAAATGGCCTGGTTCTCTCTGTGTTCTGCCTGCAGAGGAAGCCCTGCACGGTGGCTGATGTCTACCTCGGGAACTTGGCTGCTGCTGACCTAATCATGATGTCCTGCCTTCCCTTCTGGGCTGTCACAATTGCCCAAGGCTACCAGTGGGACTTCGGAGAGGTCCTCTGTAAGCTTGTTAATGTGACTATCTCTATGAACTACATCTGCAGTATTCTGTTCCTAATGCTGGTCAGTGTGGACCGCTACCTGGCTCTGGTGAAGCCCATGAGTCCCAGTCGTCTGAGGAGAGCCTCCTGGGCTAAACGTATCTGCCTGGGGATCTGGAGCCTGGGCTTTCTGCTCACTCTGCCCACTCTGCTCTTCCGCACAGTGTCACACATAGAGGATCCCGGTGTGGATGCCTGCATTCTGGCCTACCCCCACCCAGTCTGGAGGTTGCACCACAACATCACCAGTAACATATTGGGCTTCCTAATTCCTGTCCTGGTGGTGGCTTGCTGTACTCGTCATATTGTGGCTGCACTGAACAATCGGGGAACCGAAGGACTCCCTGGGGTGAGGGCAGAGAAGAAGACCACCCACTTGGTCCTCGCTGTGCTGGCTGTCTTCCTCTTCTGCTGGACACCGCACCAAGTTATGCGCTTTCTTGACACTATGGATTACTTCCAGGTCACACCTGGATGCCTATGGGGTCATGTCCTGGACATCGGCATACAGCTGTCCACATATCTGGCATACAGCAACAGTGCGGTTAATCCCTTCCTGTTAGTCATTGTGGGCAAGCATTTCAGGAAAAGGGCAAAAGAGGTGTTTGGAAAAACTTTGAACCCCTGGCCAAAATACATGACCTACCTGACTATGAGCTTCATCTCGGTGAACAGACTCAGTGAAACTGCTGAAACACAGAATAGCTCTGCTATTTGGCTGACAGCTTTTGTTGATTCAATCCCCGAACCTGGAACAGTGCAGTAGAGCGCTTTGCTTGATGCAGTTGGACAGAACTGCAACAATATGGAAAGCCTAGTTACAGTTACAATAAGTCATTGTAAGGAATATGTGTAGCCTGGTTTGCATGATGATTATGATTCAACAGTCAGGTATTTATCCTCAACAGGAATATAAAAATAGTGTGGAATATTCCACTCACTTCATAATTATAACCACCATTTGCTAAATTATAAATGTATGCTTGGGTTTTATTTATCTCCAAGAAAACCTTGCAAACTTAAACTGCCAAGCACTGTATGTTGATTATGTTACACAATAAGATTGGAACACATACAAAAACATACAATGGATGATGATCACTCTGTCTATCAAGACAAGAATGTATTGTTCTATTTTATTTTTTATTTTGCACAGATTAGAATTACATTAAAAAAAATTACAAAGATAACAAATAATGTAAAGTGCAGGGAGAGGCAGAAAACCCAGATGGGCTTATTTAAAGCC